CTATAAGTGCTTTTATTTATTTGATGAATTGTTTGATCCATATCTCGCCTTCCTGTTTGTATAAGAAGCAAGACAGCAAGTGTAGTCTTATTTCTTTATTTACTGTATTTATACCCTCCCTTTGCCATTCCCATCCTCTTAGGCTGAGAGAGTGGAACTTGCCCAAGGTCATTTAATAAGTTTCCATGGCTGGGACGGGACTTGAGACATGGTCTCTTGGAATCTGAGCGCAACATTCAAATTACTATACCATGTTGGCTTATCATAATGTATACAAAACTCTAAATCCAATTAGAGGACACCCATTACATCATTTGAATGTGCACCAGTCTTGAGAAGATTTGCTCTAATTGGTCCAGACAACTGAATTTAGGCCAGGTGTGGTAATTGTGCTACCTTTCAAATGTGGGCTGCTACTCCAGATTTTTTTTTTTACTATTTCCTGTGTTGGGCAGGGGTGCATCAACACTGATGACTTATTTCAACACTGCATAGGGCTGATCTAATTTAACTCAGGCCAATGCTGCTTTAAGCTAAGTTGGGGGAAAACCTGAATGCTGGGTTAGGATTTGGGTTTTTCTTAACTTAGGTGCTGTGAAGGGAATCGTGCCTGATCCTAACTGGAACCAGATGCAACTGTCTTCACTGCCATTATGCAGTCCCCTGTCAAACATACATATTACAGCTGTCCCCAGCTGTGACATGCCACCTACCTTGTTCTTGGGGTTCTAGCTGACATCGGACAGAACACTTTTGTGCCAACTGAGGAGATGGAGGGGGGATGTAAATTTTTCCCCCTTCCCAGCTCCCTTAGAATAGTAACACTCTGGCTGATATCAGCCAGAGTGCTGAGAAGGAGGTTGATCGTGTGTCACAGCTGGGGACAGCTGTAATACAGGGGGTGCAGGTGGGGGTGTGGACTCCTAGGATAGCTGTCAAAACATCAACCCCCAATTACAAGCAGAGCATACATAAAGAATCCCAGGTTAAGCTGATAAGTCTACACAATCACTGGAATTCACAAGAGAGAAATAAAAATCAAAATGTCAATTCCAGGGACAAGTGTCACTTGCCAGAAATGTCCAAGTTTGGTGAGAAGGCTCCTTTCCTAGATGTTATTTCCAGGCATGGCTGAGGGAGCTGCTGTTCACTGTTGGGCTCCAGTTTGAACACTGAGCTTTCTACTAGCATTCCCTCATCTATGCTTTCTATGCTGTCTACAACTATGGCTGCCCAGGGGCACCATACCATGTTCAGCATGGTTGGTCAATAGACAATGAACGGCAAAACCAGTTTGAGGCAGGGATAGTAGCCACATTATCCGGAAAATACAGGGTCATTAGCACATCTCAGTGGATCAATGACGAAAAAAACTTAACTAATCCACTAAGGTGTACTATTGCACATATTAATGTCCTCTAAGGATCAGCGGCAAACTATAACAGGGCACAGGAAATGAGAACGAAAGAGCAGAAAGCAAGAAAGAAAGATTTTCCAATGCACTAATGGTTCAAGAACTAGAATGATGTTGACTTTATTTAGCCTTAAGAAATAAACTCCACTGAATTCCGCACAGCAAAAATTTACAGAAATTTATGCACTTACGGTAATTGCAAATGTTAACAAGTCCATACAACTTGTATAGTTCAGCAATGAACCAATTAGAAAAAAGTAGAATCACTCAAGCAATGGAATTTAATGGAAGTTGCTAATATACCTCAAGATTTCTCATACTATTTCCATCATGATCATCAGCTTACTTTAAAGAGCACTATTGCTGTGGTAGGACAGTGGGCTAAACTGCTAGCTGCAGAAAAACTGCTGGTAGTTAAAAGCCATGGATTGGGGTTAGCTCCCACTGTTAGCCCTAGCTTCTGCCAATCTAGCAGTTCAATAACATATAATGAGAGTAGATCAATAGGTACTGCCTTGTCGGGAAGGTAAAAGGCATCAATGAAGACATGCTGGCAACACCACCAGCAGGGTCTATGGACAACAGTCTCCTCAACATTGAAAAATGGAACAAGAGTACCTTCCTATGGCGAGAGTTGAGCATTGCCTCCAGATGTCACAGAAAGAAAGGTGAACCTTTGCCTTTGTTTATGTATTACATGCCATTGTTCACTGTATAAGAGGCATTGAATGTTGGCCTATATATGCATATTTTGTAATCCACTCTGAGTCCCCTCAGGGAGATAGAGCAGAATATATAAAAAGTGTATTATTATTATTATTATTATTATTATTATCTTATACCACAAAATGAAATTGTTTTAAGTAAAATATCACACATTGCCTTTCTCATTCATATCTGTCCAATTATTGATTTTCTAATTGATAAATAGAAGGTAGAAGAAGTTAAGAAAACAAATCTTTCTTGTGCAAAATCATTTCATTCTAGCTTGGTTTTCATATTGCTGTAAGGTACTGTTAATTCTCCCAGCAATCCAACCATAGTAGTTGTAAATGATTTTCTTCTTACTTTCTTTCATATCTTCTTCCTAATAAAAGGAAGAACTTGAGAAATTAATTTCAAATCTCTTGGAACAGGCACATCACTGTCAGTCAAAGTCAAATGGGTGATATTAGAGCAGGATTTGGAATGTAGCCACTTGCATTACTAATTTTGGCCCAGTAGAGGGCAACTGGGCTCAAAAACAGAAGCAAAAGCATTTATGTACAGTTACTGAGTAGTGCTTAGTGAGAAACAAATGTACGCAAAAGTTTGGCCTTGAGATTCTATTTTGAAGCCACTCATTTAGTATACAGTTTGCTAGAGTTTAAATCTAATAATTTATTTACTAATGGAAAATAACACTTCAATAGTATTTTAAAATCTGAATATTTCAAAAGGTTACAAGCCCTGAATATAGAAAATGAATTGAAAATATAACAATGATTTCTTTATATGTGTAAATATGAAGGATTACATTGCAATTTATATTTTTGCTTCATTTGAGAACTAAATGAAAGAAATGTAACAAGAACGATGTCTTGTAAAAAATACTAGCTATTCATCTCAATACTAGTACAAAGATCACAGCAGTAGCACGATTCTTACTCCTTCATCTCCATGGAGCGGCTATAGCTTATTGTTTGGCTTTCATAGAAAATCCCAGACTATTAGCTCCTCTGCTAGTCATGTGAACAGCATAGAGATTTGAAAAATATTTATGTTTTTGGTTTAAACTATAAGAACCCTCAAGGCAAACATTTCATTGGCGATATAGTCTGGAAGGTACTGACAATCCTAGTCCAAAGGTATCTTTAACAGGTTCTGTGAACTATTTGTATTTATGTATGTATTAGGCCTGGGTAACAACGCAAAAATTTGTTTCTAAAATCGATTTGTATTTGGGGGGTTTTTTTGTTTCGATATTTAAAATAATTACAAAATTTTCCTTTTAAAAAGTTCGATATTTACGAAATTTCGTAAATGGTTAAAAATTAACAAATCGATTTCTGAAACAATAACAAATCATTCGTTAATGGCGGACGCGACCGCGAAATACGCTAAAAAACCTCCAAAAACTTCTGAAGCTTCCCTCTCCCTCTGTTCTTGACTGTTGGTGTGATATTATAATTTTTTTTCACTAATTAAACCATAAAACTGGCCCAGACATGCGGAAATAATAACGAAATGACCTCAGAACAATAACGAAACGAATACAATAACGAAATACGAAGCATTTACAAAACGTGTTTAAAAATTCGTTTTTTTAATGATTGCTCCAGAATGGTTCGTTATCGTTTTGTAATTGGAAAAATTAACGAATTATTAACGAATTACGAATTAACAAAATGAAACCGCCCAGGCCTAGTATGTATCATATTGCATCCTGCTTTTTCTTCAAGATATTGAAGTCATGAAACATGATATTGCCCCATCTTACACGAATGAAGATCATGCCAAGCAACAATGACCATTCCAAGGGTACTTGCTTAACTTTATGCTTATGTAAAAACTATATCTGAGACAACAAAAGATCTCTGATGCATCAGACCAATGTCTTTCTGTTGTCATCTTGTTTTCCACATTCCTTAATTGCCAATATGTTGGGGAATATTTTAGTGTAGTTTTCTTTTGGAAATACCAGTTGCAAGAACTGAGAAAATCCAGACATTGCCCATATGTATTCTACAGGCTGCAGACGCTGCAGGAGATTGGTTTGACTCCAGCAGCGCAAATCTCTCATAATAAAACTGCAAGAAAATAGTCCAAAATTCCCAATATGCTCAAAATCTGTACAGCCAATTAAAACTCCAAGAACCATCCAGCTAAACACAGATGTAATATATACTGGCACTCAAAAGTACAATATAGTCAGTGTATTCTATTACATAACCAGTTGCTGATGAAGGACTCATATAAATGTTGAGACAATTTTCTGCTTTAGCAACTGCCAGGCTTTTTGTGAAGCAAATAACCTCAGATGAAAAGCTTTTGTTTTCAAATGTCCATGAGAAATCATTATTTTACCTTCACAAACCCACTGTAGTATGGGCAAGGTTATAGTAACTGGTCTTGGGTCACCAAATGAAACCTTGCTTCTTGCAGCAAACATCACAGGAGAGGTTTTGACATTATGCAATTGCAAGGATGGCAACAGCTCCACTAAGTGTTCTACATACACACACTATTCATGATCTCTCATGCCCATAGCTTTCATAATGTACAGCTTAAAGAAGATCATTTTGTCAGGTCACTTGACTTTGCTCAGCAAAGCCTTAAACTTAGGTGGAACCATTTCTACAAACTGAAAAAATAAGAGGAGCTGGCTGAAGTGTTATTCAGTTTATGACAGGCTGTCCATACCATTAAGAAGAGCGAGGAGCTGCTTTGGGCAGCAGATTCTGAAGGATGATAGAAGTCCCTAGTTGTTCCTTTCTATTTGAGGACATAGCTGTGTATGAGACACTGATTGCCCTAAACCTTGTACCCGAGTCTGCTACAATTCAGTATTAAAGTAAGGCTCACCTGGCAATGTAGGTGGTTTGTGTATGTGCAGTGGGGAGAGGAGGTAGAATTGTCCTTCTTCTCAGGTAGTAAAATGTCTTGAGCCAGTCTGATTTTCATTGAGTAGACCCACACTGTTTGCTCTCCACTTCCACACTGTAGAACAGGAAATCACAGCATTAGAGATCCAAGTTTACTTCCCACAGTAGTCCCACCGTGGGCTGCACTTTTGTACCAAGCCTCTCTGAGCTCCCTCTTGGGGGTTGAGAAGGGTGGGTAGAAATGCTGGAAATAAATAATAAATAAATACCAAACCAAGGTTCATGAGGGGCACACATCTTGGTTTAAAGAAGAACCATACTTTCTGAGACAAGTCTGTAATGTGTTAAGAAAAAAAACCCAATAATTTGGGGAGAGGGGCTTCAAGTATGGCAAAAACTGATTTGTCATGCTGTTTCCCCTTGAGACAGCATGAAGAACCACAATGTCTTTTTTATTCTCTTCTCTCTGCCCTTTTACACTCATGAATGCAGTTCTTCAAACTTGCTGAAACATAAATGAGACCTAGTATAGTGTGCTAAACAATCTTTTGTAAAAAAAAAAAGGGGGGGGGACAAGACTCTGGATATAAATTCAAAGGCTGAACGACTAGGGGCATGAAAATATAATTCTAAGTAAACAAATGAGCAATAAGAGAAATAATTCAGACTAAATGAACAGGAAAATACTGAAAGATTTAATGTAATAAAGAGGTTGAGGGAATTTCTGTTGGACTAGATTTTAAATAAATTCCTAATCCTTAACATTAAATTCCTTATACATTTCAAATAATCCTAGCCAAAGTTGCTATGGTTACAAAATGCACTGGTGTTGATTTTACCCCTGGCTGGTCACTTCATTAATTGGTTTAGAAGTCAATCTTACCTTGAATTTGACTTTCCCCTATCAAGCCCATGCTTTTGTAACCATGACAACCTTTACCCCAAAATGGTAACAGGTAACAGGTGAAGCCCATTTTTCTTATCACTATCCTTGTACTTTATATTGATATCTTCAGTATCATTAGTGGTTTATCTTTCATGCCAGCCTACATGGGTTGGGTCCAGGTTACCAACAGGATCGCCTTCTCCTGTACAATCCACCCCAAACACTGAGGTGCTCTGGGGGGTGTCTGCTTCAGCTTGCCAGAACTCGACTGGCAGCTGTAACTCAGAGGACCTTTTCATTGGCCACCCCAAGACTATGGAATGACTTGCTGGAAGAACTCCAACAGCTAAAGGAGCTGTTGGAACTTAAAATACTCTTCTACCCAGTTTTAATCGTGAATTTTAAATTCACATCTTGTGTTTTAATCTTTATTCTGTGTATTTTAATATGTATTTTATAGAAATATGTTTTAATAATATGTGTATTTTATAGAACGTTTACAATGACTACGTGATTTAACTATGTTGTAACCTGCCTTGAACCACAAGGAGAGGTAGGTAAGAAATGAAATTATTATGATTATTATTGTTATCATTATTGTTGTTGTTATTATTATTAGCTTTTCTTTGGCACCCCTTTTAAGAACCCCGTTCCTTTCCCTTATGACTCAGACTTTAGACATATTAAGGGGAACATTGCCAGTTATTTTTGCCTTCATGTGAATAAAACCCCATCCTCAGTATAGCTGAAACACATATGCGGAAGAAGGAAATCATTAGACTAGATCACCAATACTGTGCTACAGACTGAATATCCTTTACCCAAAATGTTGGGACCAGAAGTATGAGATTTTTTAAAAATCCTTTTTTTGTAATACCTGTATTCATATATACTAGGCCTGGGTAACAACGGAAAAATTTGTTTCTAAAATCGATTCATTTTTTGGGGGGTTTTGCGTTTCGATATTTAAAAGAATTCCGAAATGTTTCTTTTAAAAAGTTCGATATTTACGAAATTTCGTAAATGTAAAAAAAATTACGAAACATTAACGAAACAAATACGAAACAATAACGAATCAATTCGTTAATGGCGGACGCGACCGCGCAATACACTAAAAAACCTCCAAATGGGACAGGGGGAACTTCTGAAGCTTCCCTCTTCCTCTGTTGTTGACTGTTGGTGTGATATTATAATTTTTTTTCACTAATTAAACAAAAAACAACTATAAAACTTGCCCCAGACATGCGGAAATAATAACGAAACGACCTCAAACCGATAACGAAATGAATACATAATGAATCCGAAGCATTTACGAAACGAATTTAAAAATTCGTTTCGTTTTTAAGTTGCTCCAGTTGTTTTAAGTTGTTTTAATTTCGTTATCGCTTCGTTATAAAAAAAATAACGAATTTTTAACGAATTACGAATTAACGAAACGAAACCGCCCAGCCCTAATATATACATATCTTGGACATGGGATCCAGGTTTAAACAAGAATTCATTCATGTTTCATATAAACCATAAATACATAGCCTGAAGGTAATTTTACATGATATTTTTAATAAGTAGGTCAGCAACATCCAATTTGCTGAGATTTCAAGGCCAGAAATGAGGCCAGGGATGCTGCAAGGCTGGTCAGCATCATAGCAGTCAATGTTTGCAAACTTTTGCAGGCTTATTAGTTTTATATTATCTTCCACTTCTCCTTAACAGACAAAACTTTAAGATTCATAAGAATCTGACACATAATCTGCCAAATTCCTGTCACAATGGCTCTGAATATGTACTTTAAAGGTGACCTTTGAAAGTAACTAGAAACCTTGACTGGTGCAACAGCTGACATAAGCAAATGTTACTTGTAGCAGTACTTTTGAGCTATGAGATTACGCCTCCCTTGTCACCTCAAAATTATTGACAGGTGATTACTAATTTATCATATCATGAATATGAATATATATAGGATCTTTTTCCAGACTCATTGCGGTTCTTGAGGTTTGTGATGACTCCATTTTCTAACATCTGGGAGTTTTCTTCCAACCTTCGCCCTTTTGCTACCAAGGGACAGGAAAGCTCATGGTTCCATGTTTTGCTCAAATTGGAGCCATGACCCTGGGTGCCTATAGGTACCATCTCTCTCCTTATTCCCTTCTTTCCATTCTAGCTTTTTGGTGGAATGAATAATCATACAAACCTCTTTACTCCCAGGCATTTGGCATCAACTGGGAATGAATAGAGATCACAGACAATCAGAAATATACAAGTTTCCTTTATTTCATACATGAATGCACTCCCCCCCCCCATTGTTTTTCTTTTTTGCAGAAGCAATTTTTACACACAAACCTTGAATTTCAAAAACGAGCAAGATAATTCCCAATGGGCATGAGGTTGAGAAAAAATTGTGACTACTCTTAACACTTCCAATGTCCAGGACTTAAAAGCTACCTTGGATATAAAATCAAACTTCCATGTCCTGTAGCATAGCTCACCATGAAGTTTGTCTTCTTGAAGAGCTGGAAATTTTCTTAAAGCAATCTTAACCACATTTGAATTTTGTACAAAGTAAATCTAAAATTGCAAAAGGCTTCACAAACTGCATGTTTTTCAAGTCTTTCTTATAGTGGGAAGAAAATTGCCAAAATTAGTTTTTGCTTCTTTCAGAAGAAACTTAGTGAAGAATTACATTCTTACTCTGACATTTAAAATAGTGACAGAATATATCTCACATCATAAATAAGGCTTAAAAGGATTTTGCTCTTTGCCAATTTAGTAGCAAGCAAGCACATAGAAGGTGAATTACACAGATTCGCTAAAAATAAGCACTGCTCACTTCATACGCAGATTGGAAGATATGCATAAAGGGCACTGCAAATGTCTTTTGCCCACTAGTTACATAGTGCAGAAGTATGGGAATCTGTATTTTTTAAAATGTGTTTTTATGTACATACATGTCTGCAACTGTGAGAAATTGTCATTATGAAGATTTTGTGGACTGTGACTCCCAGCATCTCTTAACATTGGCCATGATGATTTGTGGTGGTGAACATCACAATCCAATGAGACTGTGGAGGGCCACCCTTGACCAACCTGACATCTCTTTAAAGAGTGCCAAAGCATTCCATTTGAGATATACTACTAATACGAGTAGAAAAGATAGCAGTCTGTTTTCTTTATAAAATAGTACAGATAAATATAGACAACATTAATCCCATTTTCTTGGGCATTTGAAGCCCCTCCCATTGATTTCTCTTTTCTAGCCATCAATCACACACAAAATGTTCCTATTAGAGTTGCCATTGAAAGAGGTCTTTTTGTAGTTTGTACTCCTGTCTCCCATCCATCTCCACATAGTTCACAGATTAGTATTTATTAGCACACTGCTACTTTTGTGTCAATAGGGGAAGCGTACACAAGTTCCCTGGTAATTGTGACTCCCAGCATGTCTTTGGTGACAGAACAGCAAATTAAACAAGGATAAAAAGGGACAGGTTGCCTAGAATACACAAAAGATAACAGATTTAACATTGCCTGTGTTTGGAAGCTAATGTTCTCAGAAACTCCTTTGTGAGTCATAATTAGTAGTAACTTCCATTTATATCTCCCCTTTCCTTCCTACATCCATTTACATTCTACAGGCCATATGCGAATGATTTCTATAGCTAAAGATTGGGAGAAAAAGGGAAGGAGCAAGGGTGGGGGAAAACACTGTTGTTTACAGAAAATCTTTCCAGTGAACACTTTGAATTGTTATGGTTTTTCTGTATTTGTGCATATGTTATTCAGTTTCTTGTCCTGGTATAATGAACAGAAAATGGTCTTTGGTACATATTTTATTTGTATTTGTTCATACTGTTCACATTTTCACATTCTTTATTTCTGTCTTCTAAACCCCGTGTAACTCAGCAACTTTATTATTTCAGGCCAGCTTTGCACTCTTTTTCTTTAAAATTGCAACCTTGTTACTGCCTGCTGCATTACAATAAACATATATATAAAACTGATAAAAATTGTGTAGGCATGGCTAAACATAAACAGTGGAGTTGCCTGTTATCATGGGAAGCATACATTAACTCAACTGCTATTATGCCTCACTCTCATCTTCCACTACATTAACACTATACTCCCTCTGTTTTATTTTCCTCTTTCTTTTTTGCCTCTTCCATCTTCTTTGCTTAGTTATTTTTAAAAACAAAAAATAGAGATTACATTTTTTGTTACAATGCATGCCAGGA